TTACTTGGCTTCAAAGACATGACACCTATGGCATGGGCTGTAGGTAATGGGACAATTTCGCACAAAGAGATGGTATCAAATGGTAAAGGATCTCTACTAGAGACCAATACATTTACATCCACCAGAAGAGTCTAGAACTCCAAAGGACACTACCAAAGAAGCCAACAAACTTCATGGAGTGTTACAACTGGGTTTCAGACCACGTCGTAGCCATGGGGTAATTCTCAATACTACAATAGTTACTGAAACCTACTATCCAGAGAGCAACCAAGAGTTGCCGACCAAGGGATTAATTACCAATCTGGTGGAATAGCTTCCTGCGAGTCAATAGGAAGTCATCCAGAAAAAATCTATCAGTTGGGTAGGGAGTTACAAAGGATTGGAGTCAGATGACCTACGATGGTTGTAATGATGACCACCTTTGCAGATATAGCCGTGTATACAACTGATCATTTTATCAATGGCGAAGACAATTGGAGCCAACTCAGTTTGACTTAAGAACTAAGCCATAAGTCTAAAGACTCTGCTAATTGGGATATTACTATTGGAGACAATACGTTTCCTAAAAAGAAATATCGTAATTTCTGAAAAGGCTGTGATGGTTTTCAGGCTCCACAGGTGTTCGCACCTTGGAAGAAAACTCGACGTTGTGAATTACGATTAAAGAAGTACATAGTTGTATGATAAATAGATGTAGTCTACGAACACTCAGATGTGGAATATAAATATCGAAGTGCCTCCCAAGCTTTAGACATCATCAAGTAATTGAGAAGAGACCTTAACAATATAATATTGTTTTTACGATTCTACCCTACTTTACCTACTTTACTTCGCTCCTAGTAGCTATAAACAAAACGAGCCAAGTCCAAGCCTTCTGGCATGGTGGTGAGGAAAACAGAAAATTGCAGTCAGACTGTGGTTATCAAAAATTGCCTTGGCCACCCAACTCACCAGATCTCAATCCTATTGAGAACACTTGGGCTCTGCTCAAAAGAGTTCTCAGAAATCAATTCTCCAGGTTGGATAGGAGGCCTCACAGTGCTGCTGAATTATTTCAGGCAGCAAAGGAGGAATGGGATTTAATTTCCCAAGAGAAGTTGGATTGGTGGATAGATAGGATACCTGAGAGAATACAGGCTGTACTAGATGCAGATGGTGGTCATACAAAGTGGTAATAATATTTTCTTGGGGCTTATTAGTTCTATTCATATACTTTTCTTAATTGAATTGTTTGAATTTTTTTTCAATTTTCCTCGGAGAGGTGTTGTGGTTGTGTAGTTGCGCTGCTGGGGTATGAAGACTTTACAGACATGACTGTACAAGGGGGGGGAAGAAAGTAATGCGACACCCGTGCAATACAAATTCCCATACGGAAACAATATCAATAACATTTAGTACTACCATTTTCCACAACCACATTCAATAAATAAAATAAGTAAAGGAGATAAAATTAAAAAATGCTTAGTATTTCCTTAAAGTAAAATAAAAAGAAAATCATAAATCAATAATGAGTTTGGTGCCCTTTTCTTCTAATAACCTCTCTGACCTGCTTTGGCATACTTCTGCACAGATCCATAAACCTCCCATTAGGAATAGCTTTCCATGCTTCCTCCACAGCTCTGATTAGCTCTTTCTTGCTTGCAACTCTTCCATACCTTTTCCTCAAGTAAGTTTCCATATCTCCCCAAATATTTTCAATTAAGTTCAGATCTGTTGACTGTGGTGGCCAGAGCAATATATCCACTCTATTCCTTTTTCTACACTTTGTAAAATATCTGTGATTAAACCAGTAGTTAGATTTTATTCTTAAGTAAGTATTTCTATATCAAAAAACAGAAAATACAATAATTATAAGAAGGTAGAACCTACCCTTTATACCCTGGTACACCATCTTCAACAACCCTAGTCCAACCAAATCTCTCACAACACTCATACCAGAAAGGAATTAAAACTGGATCCAGAATATACTTAGTATACTTATAAGAATCCACTTTAACCTTTCCTGGTACTACCACTAGCTTTGACCTCAAATCCCTACAAAAGGCTCCCCATACCATAACTGTCTCCCTTCCTAACTCTCAGACCTCATCAATTCAATCCTGATCATATTCCTCAGAAGGTTCTCTTATTTCCCATCTTCTCTGCCCAAATCCAGCTGTAGAGAATGAGGTTTCATTAGTCCATATGATTCTGGACCAGTCTCTTAGTTTCCAAGCTCTTTTTCTCATACACCAACCAAATCTAATTGGTATATTTTTAGGGTGCAATCCTCCTCTAAAATATCTTTTAGTTATGTAAACACTTGAATCTTCATTAAAGTACTTACTTCTTGCGTGGTTTTCTTTTATTTAAATTAAGACTCTTAGCTGCCTTCCTAATTGTCCTGGATGATGCGTTTAATCCCTTCTCTTCTTTACTATTCTCCTAAGAGAGTCTTCTATTTCATTTATTTTCATTAATAAAACACTTTAGATCAAGTAGATCAGATTCCTGGATGATTGGAGGTCTTCCTGTTCGCTGGTAGTTGGAAGGACTACCTGTTTCCCGATACTGTTGATAGATGCGAGCACAGGTACTATGTTGAACATTAAGGCCTATTTTTTCCTCCAATTCGGTAGCTATCTTGCTGAAAGACCACTCCACTATTTCTCAGAGAGCAATAATACGGATCCAGTCATTACGCATAGTTTCCCGCTGGAAGCGCTGTCGCTTCTTTGTCAACAATCGCCACCGCTCAAGATTTCGTGCACTAATCTCTAAATCATTTAATTTTATTATTATTTCAACTTTATGTGTATATTCATTTTATTAACCTACTTACGCTCACTTCTGCGGGTTCCCTTTACCCTCATAGTGCTTTTCTGAAATGGTTTGGCAGGTGGTGGGGGATATAGTGAGTACTATAGTGATGGGGGTTGGGAGTAGAGTTGCGATCTTGTGGGAAGTGGTTGCTACTGTGTCGCACTACTTCTTTCCCCCCCCTCGTACAGTACTGTACACAACCGCACAATAGGACTTCTCAATAAGGTAGAAAGATCTCCGTCCCGCACTTCATTTAAAACCAAACTAACGGAAAAGACAGGAGGTATATATAACCAAAAAAACGAACACATCCTCCAACCCTTCTATCTTTCCACCGATCACCACACATATCCATTCTCTTCCTTTCCACGCACGTCTCCCGCTCTCCCATTCCGACTCCCGTACTAACATAAGAAATACATGCTTCTCAATGAACTCTTCCGCCTTCCTAGCCCCCGCGCGCCCTGCTCTCCTACAAAGGACTCTCCCACTACTTCCCAGCCTCCGCCTTCCTTCCAACCGCGTCCGTGCCCATGATATTTCCTCCAGCTACGAACGGATGACGACTTCCGTGCGATGGCTGCGAGCCTACAGGCGACAAAAGTAATGATAACGGGGACGGGGACGGGAACGGCAGCGATACCAACACGCGAGAGCGCAGGAGCGGGCGACAGCTCACAAGCAGGCGGCAAAGAATATCGTACGAGCGGCCGATAGCGTGCGTGCGGACGGGCAATAGCGATACAAACGAGTGGGCGATAGCGATTGTATGCCGAGCAGCATTTTCAACAACTACAACGCTCGGGTCAGGGTCTCCGGGGCTTCACGACAAGGAGAGTCGGGAATCAGCACAAATGCTGGTACGGTTTGGACTATGATGTGGGGTGGTTGCAGAGCCAAAGGGTTCGGGGAATGAATACTCGGGCGTCATGGTGAATACGGCTATTCTCGTAAAGGCCAGCTTTCTCTACACATCACTCAGGCGTTACGGAGCATGGTGGCAATGGAGGGTGGTTATAACAAACATATCGGCGAAGGATCCAGTGGGTAGTGCGATAAAATACATCTTCGCAATGGTGTGCTTTTCTGTCGTCTGCTTGTACCGATCCACCCGCCACCCATCTACACTCCTGCACACTGTCGTGAAAACTGATGATATTGTTTACCTGTAGTAGTGTTAGTTTGCAGTTCCGGCGCTGGTATACGTGACCCCGGTTTCAGAGGACAAAAATGTTTGCGCACCTGTACTAAGTTATTAGGGTTAATATTTGTTTCCTTGTTTCTTACGCCCAAGGGGAAATTCACTGGAAGTGGATTCTCTGGTTCGCGGCCTTCTGTCGCTGGCTACACTCGCTGGCTACACTAACGGCGGGATCTCTGGTGGGGAGGGCGAGGAGAAGGACGAAAGGTGTGGGGTCAAGAGGGGGGGAGGGGTGGATGTGCACTGAGCCGGTGGGAGCCCCGAAGCATGTAAGATGGACCAAGCAGCCGTCGGACTCGGTGCGATTCTGTAGTATATACCCCCCTCCCCTGTCACCCTGCACGCCATTCATTCCTCAGTTCCATTCTTTCCTCATGCCACTGAACGACCATATATCTCTGGCAATGTGGACCTACATACTCCTCACCAGAACGCAGTCGTCGGTGATACTGTTGACCTAAATGCTCAGCATCTGTTAGCCTACAATGACTGCCCCATCTGATGGCGGATGACCAATTTGCTCCTCTGTTTATGCGTCAGTGGGATGTCCGGTAACGGATGATGATGAGCGATACAAAACACAGAGCTGAGATCATCAAACTAAATTACAGTGCAGGTACAGTACAGGACACTTCGGCCACTACGAGTAAGGGACCAAAAGTGGAAAGCACCGGTAGTGGATTTAGTAGCCGTCGGACTCGGTGTGATTCTGTGGTATACACACCCCCCTCTCTCTCACCCTACACGCCATTCATTCACCAGTTCCATTTTTCCTTATTAACCTGATACAGGCTTTTCTGGCCTGGAACTACTGCAATCGCGGGCTACAGCGTTCCCGTCCGAAGACTTAGCCTGGCAGGACATGACATGGAGGAAACCACCAAGGATGCCTTTAGCTCTAACGACGAATATGCCCTCATTAATAAAGACCGGGATGAGGACGACGGTGACAGCAGATTCTCCCATCACGGGCGTTGTAGAAGTGTGACCAGTTACGATGGGGGTAAGATTATGAATTCAACTGGGATACAAAGGGATCGAGAGAAGAGATGAAACCCATGCTATCCATCAGACCAACAAGCAGCGAACAGATAAAAACAAGGCCAAAGGGTATGAGATGAGTTTAGGTGTACTTAGTTGGCCATAGGGAGATGTCCCTGTTTACGGATCTCTTGTCCAAATAAATAGCGAAGTCGTGTCAAAGACAACGGAAAAAGAGTCTGGGGATTCAGGCCAACGGGAGATCGGTCCCCAAAAAGCTCTTCCACCGTGATACATGGATCGTGAATAGGCTCAGAGGGGGGGGAAAGATTTCCTGCAGGATGAGGGGGTTGATTAGTAGGATGTAAGAGAGATAAAGATATGGTAGGGCAGGGAAGCGCATGCCAATGTATCCGGAACTATTGCGCCCTCCACAACCCGGCAGATGTTTAAAGTCGCCTTAATTTCATTGAATATATTCAGTGTTCCCAACCGTCCCGGGCAAGATGGGTAAGGACGGCAGGGCACGGCGTCCCTCCTTCCTGAAGACCGCCGCCCTGGGCGGTGACGCCCGGGCCCGGCAGTCTTAGTCCAAATGGGATCTTCCGGCTGTCATCTGAAGGCGTCATCTAGGGGGCCTGACCTTCAACCGCAGGGCCCGGCTGTCGTCCGTAGGGGCTGGCGATCATCTGCAGGGCCCGGCTGTCATCTGTAGGGCACGGTCGCCACCCGCAGGGCCCCATGGTCGACTGCCGGGTTGTGGGTCCTCCATGGAGTCCCTTCGGTATTTCGCACACTATTCCCTAATTGATGGTTATCTCGTAATATTAGCGGTTGTTTCACACTAGAGATGTATTTACAAAAGAATGAGCAGAATGTTTTAGTTTCAACACAGAAACGATGAATAAATAATGGTAGATTTTACGAAAGAATCTAAGTAACCTGATGTACCAGAATCATCCTATTCCAAGCTCTCCCTTTTCTTTTGACAAATTTGTCCGAATGGTTATCACATTACTTGCATGGTAGCAAACAGGATCCGTAAATTTTATTGTTGAAAACTTACCATATTCGGAATAAATCATATAAGAGAGATACCTGCAGGGCCCGGCCGGGCGTCCGGGGCAGAGCTTAGGACGGACCCCAGGACGGGCGTCCGTCCAGGGCAGGGTCCCGGGAACTGGCGTCCGTCCCGTCCGAAGCCAAGGACGGACGGACTGGACGCTTGGGAACACTGAATATATTCGGCTCGAATAATTTAAACATAGAACAACTTTCACTGCCCCACCAGACCCTTCGAACCACAATTGGCAGTCACGTTCTAGCTGGGCCTGCGACTCGCTCCACCCCGCTTCCAGGACGATAGTTGGAAACTTGGTTTTAACTCCATTAACGCGGGGGCTGTAGCAAAGGTCCGGTGTCTTTTTTGAGTTTGCAAAGGTACCAACAAAGTTATCATATGCTATTCAACATTAGTATAGACTAGGGAGTTCTATACGGCAGAGCAAAGTGACATACTACTTAAGGTATCGGATATCAAGACGAGAGTGTTTGGCGTAAGGAGGCCGTAGCCGATCCACAAGCCAAACTCAATTCACATCAAGGCGACCGCAGTTTCATGCAGGCGACTCGCCATGACAATACGAAGGTACCCGTCGGGGGCAATAAAGTTAATTCTATTAATAGTTAGTATACCCCTCCTCGTACTGGGCATATACAAGGCGTAGGGATAAAGTATCCGAACAGCCCTGTTCTGTAGGAAAAGTTTATCTCTGGCACTTGTACTCACCTCAAGCCAAGGGCAATTGGATCTTTCAGAGAGAGAAGGTTTTCGAGAATTTTGGCGGACACGGTTGGAGCAAGCCCCGAGAACGTAAGAAACTCGCAGGTGCGAGTTTCAAACGCCTTGTGGATTTGTGCAGCCATGGTGAGGTGGGTCCCTCCAGCGGTTGAAGTGATGGAAAAAAAGGTTGCCAGAGCAGCTTGCGTGGTTTATACAGATCTTACTCCGGGACAGTTACCAGGTAGCAACTGCTGCAGCTCTCCAATAACCCTAACCCCTACAGGCGGGATGCATGGGCGGGGCCGATAAGGATAACAGCCACCTGCCTTATCTAGGCGATCAATTTCTCCGTTTCTTCTTTTTGTTTTTTCTATTGTGATTGGAAATGCGTGATTATGCCTAACCTGGCTTAGCATTTGTCGGGTAGGTATCCCCTAGACTGCTGAAACATTCAGGCCGAATTGAAATGTTGAACACTAACCCTGTAAGAAAATGATCGACCTCACATGATATTAATTTCAGTGTTGCAGGAAGAGTTCAAACCAAAACATATTTCAAGCTAAAATCTATAACGACCTAACGGCTAGCCTTAAACACAATCCTATTCTTTTTCCGTATTCAAAACCCAGGAATAAGAATAGGCCGAGTGGTCAGAAAGGTTCTGAGGGTCCGGAATACTATGAATTTTGTGAAATAGAAAAAAACCGTCGCAGCATAAGGTAAGATTACACTCATGACAACCTGAATTGACAGATTTCACATTAATAGCTTCTGATGGAACCTGCAATTGCCACCAATGACAAAGAATACACAGTGTGCGTGTTGGGCGTTGCTCCAAACTGTGTGTTACCGGGGGAGGAAAGCTGACCGGAGTAGGATCAGAGTTCTTTGGTGGGGCATGGCCGGTATTGTGATGTGGACGGGAGATATAGGGAACTTTGAGCTCCAGGGGAGAGGAAAAGGTTGTAGCGGAGTTTGGAGAAGGGGAAGATGCAGGGTATGAGGTCGCTGGCTCACTGAGATGGATGCCGTCTAGTATTAGTTGATCAGCCACCTCCGAGCGAAAGTGAAAGTGTTCACTTTGCAGATTCCGACATGGATTCATGGTACGCTGAATCCTGTAAGCATTAACAAGTGAGGTATCCAGCAACCAGTAAAATAATGGAAACCAATTTCGACGACTTGGTTGCTGCGTGGTATAATAAGACCATAACTGGTCTGCGATATTGACTGCCCCCATATTGTAATTGTAGTCGTCAATAAATTCTGGAATAGGAAGTAATTTGTGCGATTCTTGCTTAAAAACTCTGCGAACCATGATGGCATTAGTGCTTGTTATCTTGGGCCTCCGTCGAAGCCTTTCCACCTCCTTCCTAATATTATGAAAGCTTGTCATAAATGGGACTGAGCTGTTATCTTGTGAAACAAGGCAACAGATATTTCTCACCACTTCACCACTTATATAACCCCATGGAAGTATCTTTCTTGCCTCTTGTTTCTTAATTTTTAGAAACTTAAGAAACCTAGCAATCCACCCGAGCAGTCCCAGCTGCTCCAATTCCTAAAGCTAGCAATTGTTCAAAAAGAGGAACCTTGGTAAAGTAGTTATCAAGTATCAAATTCTAGCGGAAATGAGAAGGAAGTAATTGGGCAAGTAGTAAAACACCTTTTGATATTGGTGTCAAACTGGAAGTGGTAGGGGGGGGTGTAACGTGTTCGCAAGGTACTAGTCACGTTATTGGTAATTGATACGATAGTTGGCAGGTGGCCTGCTCTTCTGGAGAGGAGGCGAGAGCTGAGAACTAAAGGAGGCTTTAAGGGTGTACTGAGGAACAAAGAAGTAACCGTTCAACCAAGTATATTGAAATACTGTCTGTCGAAGTCTGCCTTCTCTATCATAGAAACAGGCAGTCTTTAAATACACAAATCTGTTCATGTCTAGCATGAACGAAACTAATCAAAGGTATAAATTGATACACTTTGGTAAAACTAATGAAGTATCAAAGTGATACTTAAAACAAAACATAAAACAAAACCAAGTATCAAACGATACTTAAAACAAACCAAGTATCAAAGCGATACTTAAAACAAAACATAAAGCAAAACTAAGTATCAAAGTAATACTGAAAACAAAACATAAAACAAAACCAAGTATCAAATGATACTTAAAACAGACCAAGTATCAAAGCGATACTTAAAACAAAACATAAAACAAAACCAATAACCGAGTACCAGTACTAGTTACAGGGAGCATAGAAGCGGAAATTACAGAGGACGGCATTTCAGCAATACCCTGGGTAGAAGAGCATCAAAGAAAGCCATATGTGTATCCATGGTTACATAGAGCAAAGATCTTGTAGCCTTCCTTAATAGGCTTGTTCTGAATCTTCAATGTATACCTACTCCGACCACAAAATCTAACCACCATTTCGTTAATCGCGACTTTTGTTCCTGGTAAGTAGTATTGCCTAAATCGCTGCCGAAGAAGAGATCCCAATGGCTCTATCTTCTGATACAAATGCTTCACATCTAACTCAATCCAGGGATCTGAGATATACAGCTATCGCTTCAGCTGCTGAAACCTGTTTAGTGACATACAATTTCGAGGTACTTGATAGTGCTCTTTGGCTGACAGTGATTAATACTGCTTTAGTGGTCACTTCGATATCTTCCTCCAGCCATTTTGTCATTTCTTAGACCAATACAAGGGAATTGTTGCCTCCTTATGCAATTCCATCTTAATTGATTAACTATAAAGATTTTCAGTTCCACTGCTGTGGTCTCTTTCCATGGACGGCCCACTAGCACTCTTGTTGGTAGAGCTTCTTGACCTGGGATAGTCTTGTTTTCCTTGATGCCTTTCGCATACAAGTTTGTATTGGTTGCTAACAGTTCGAACACCCCTATGTTCCAGAAGGGCAAAACCAAATTGAACGGCTCTGTTGGAGTATTATCGGGAAGTAGTACCTAATTTAGTCTCATTCTTAGTCTCTCTGAATCTCGATCACTTCTACTAATTTCTTATTCTGCTAGTGTTTACTGTTTTCACAGTCGTATCTCTTGCAGCATAGAAGTATTCACTTACTTTGGCCTTATGAGAGGTAAATGGGACATGTACTGCATGATAATCCAGTATTCCGGGAAAATCCGCTGTCGGAATTCACTGCTTCTTCCTACCTTGCTGTGCTTTCTACCGAGCTTCAGGTATGATAGGTTGGATAGGAACGGTCGGGGAAGGTGGACTGGTGATTGAGGGTGGAATCACAGCCAGGATGTGTTGTATCGCACTTTGGGCTCACAGGCTAGGTAGGGGAGTACTGGTTTTCCATTCTTAACAAAAGGTTTCCGTAAGTGAAGTGCACATGAGTCTTGGTTTTCTTGCGACCTTAGGTTGTTTTGATTGGTGCGTACTCTCATTAAGGAAGGTTACTAAGTGCTTTTCGTTTAAGAGGCATATACAATTCCGAAATAAAATGCAGACTTTTAAATTTGACAAATCATGGTAATTTGTAAGTTGTGTTACTAGGAAACTGCTTACATAGTTGATGGGTTAACAATGACCAAGATGCCAATCTAGTACTCTATATGGCTAGTGTTCAATATTTTAAATGGGCTTGAATATTTAAGCAGTATAGGAGATACCATGTTATTCTTACACCTTCAATTTTGTGGCATTAGAGTCACAGGACACAACTGAGGTTGATATATATGATGACATGTGGGCCCCATAAGAGCGCCAGAGGGGGTTGTTAGAGACCAGAGATTCCGATTCTGAGTGGGATTACCCTACATAGGGTCATTCCTAGGTATCAGATCCTGGTACTCCTAACATTAGCTCCCTCCTCTTAAGGCGTCGCCTCAAATGCCTTTTTTGGATACATATAAAACAAATTAAAAATGAATACTTTTAGGACTGGATGAGAACAGGGTGAAAAACCTTCCGCATTTGCTGGGCCACAGTAGGAAAACCTTGTGCTCATCGTCCTTCCTCTGCCTACTGTGGTATTTCTGGATTATCACAGTGAAATTCTTCCACCAATTCCTTTGTGTAATCTATGTCTGTAGCAGGTTCCCAGGTGTTCTCATCTTCGGAACAACCTTACCATTTAACAAAGTACTATAGTTCGCGTACCCCCTAGTACCAACCCTGTACTCTCTTGTGGTAAGAGCATATCTTGCTTCTTATGATTTTCTCTGTTTCCCATTGTAAGTCATTCTCAATATCCTCAGACTACCTCAGAGGTTGTTGTCAGTCTGTATGTACTGATTTCCTATAAGATTCTAACTAGGGTAGATGGAATACTGGGTATATGTTCTATCTATCCGAATTATTGAGTTTACAGGCACGATTTCCTCGTTTCTCCAACATCACAAATGCTCTATATAATTTTGGACTGAGTTTCTTTGACTTCAAATATCTGTGAATCTTCTTTGCATTTAACATTACTTTATTGCTGATTTTGAAGTCAGCTTTTTACTGGTCCTTCCAATCATAGTATTTGGCTATAGCCTCTCATGTTTATTGGAGTGATTGCCTTGCCTGCTGATGGATCATTTTTATCCAGTTTGCATAAAGTGTGGCTCTTGGATGTTTTCCCTCGTGTTCTTTCATCCATAGTTTGTGTAGAAAGGGGTCATTCCATGTGCATTGGTTGCTGAGTTATTGTAAGCATGTTCGGTTAGGGGTAGCATTCATACCAGTCATCCTGATTGTAGTTGATGAAACTTAGCAAGTAATCTTTCAGCACTTGGTTGGTTTGCTTAGTTTGTCCATCTATCTGTGGTGGTATGCTGTAAACATGCTCCTTTTCATGTTTAATATTTTATTCGGGAATTCTGAAAATTCTCCAGCCAACTTTGAATCCATATCTGAGACAATTTCTGTTGGTAAGCCATGTAGCTTCCATATTTCCTTTATAAAGGCTGTAGCCACTTTCTTTGCAGTGGCTGTCCCTCAGGCTTCTAATCCAATAAAGTGGGCCATTTTTGTAAACTGGTCAATGAATACGATAATTTGGATACAACCTTTACTTCATGGTAGCTGCATAATAAAGTCAACTGAAATTGATGTCCATGCTGCATAGGGTATTGATAGTAGTTGTAGTAGACCATATTTCGCATCTCATAGGGATTTGTTGTATTG